CTTCCTCTGTCCCCGAAACGAGGGTCCAGCTCTTCTGGCCCAAGGGTGGCTACCGGAGCCTCTGCGATGAAGGAGCACCCACTGGGAACCAGGGACCCATGCCCGCGGAGACGGGGAGGGATGGGGACGTGGCCGGGGGTTAGAGACACCGGGGCAGATTGAGCCAGGTGGATGAGAGAAGTCAGATCCCAGGCCGCCCGCAGCTGGCCCGAGTCGCCGGGTCACCAGGCACCCGCCCAGGGGTGCAGGACCGCAGTCCAGCAGGGTCCCGCAGCGCCCAGTGAGGGCACTGGCCTGGGAGGCCGCTTGCGGGGATCCCTTCCCCGCCTCCCTCCGGCCCTCTGAGGACTATTACCTTAATAGGCAAGAACTGGGAGAGGGCGCAGGACGACCGCCCTGCACCGGGAGAGCTAGCTGCTCTCAGTTCAGGCTGGCAGCTGGGACCCTAAGCCCCCGGGCTGCTGGCTTCCACGGACTCCCAAGGAACCTAAGTCTTTGGGACCTGACTTACGTTGTGCAGATGGGAGACGGAATAGTTTTCGTTTTGCTTTGCTCTATTACATTGGTTGGCTGGCTGGGGAAATTAGGCTCCCACTCCGGTTGACTGCAATATGCGGTGCCAGACATAGTATGGGGGAGACAATACAGTGTTAGAGTAGGAGGCTTAGGCTTTAATTCATAAAACTTGAGTTGCCAGGCATAGTAGCAGGCTCTGGAGGAGACCAGGAAGGAGAATGCTAGGCCTCCAGAGCAGACGCTCAATAGGCACGTGCAATAGGTTCGAGGTTCGGGGGTTAGCTCCACCAGCGCTGGGCAGGCAGGGCCTGGCCTTACTGCCATTTGGCCCGGGGAGGCTATGCTAGGACCCTGGGGCTGATATGGCCTGAATGAAACGGAGGGTAGAAAGAAGCTGTCCAGGAAGAGGGGGCAGCACAGGCCTGGAGAGTTCAAGGTCTCCTAGGGGAGAGACCCCCTGAGGTAGTTACACCAAGCAGACGGCCTTCCCTAGTGAAGGCAGAAGCGCAGGTGAGTTGGCAGGGTGGCAGGACAATCACCAGTGTCAGTCAGCTGAGCAAAGGGCAAGAAGATCCTTGTGCATCAGGTTCCTCCTCTGTGATCCGGAGAACGCATCTGCCTCACAGCGGCATTATGAAGATTGACCTTGACTGGTATTGAGTGGGTTCCCCATAGCCATCCTTTGTGGCAGAGTGAAGCCGCCCCCCAGGGTGTCCCTTTTGAAACTCCAACCTCTCAATTAGCAGCTCCTTAGTATTGCTCTTCAATGTTATGTAAACCTGCTGGTGCAGCACAACAGTTTTGGATTTTGCTTGAATTGTCTTTCTTCTCAACACTATCCCAGCTC